GGTGCTCTGTGCCAGTAATGGTAATGGTTGCGTCCAAGGGTTGGTTCTGTGCATTGTTTCTTGTCCATTTGGGTAGTAAAGCTGCTTTGTGATGATGCAAAGATGTGATTCTGTGGATGCAGGTTAAGGAAACAGCTTTCCCAGATATCCGATACACGTGAAAAAAAAAAAGATTCAGGAAGGAAATAAGTATCTGTGATTCCCTCTAAGCCAGTTAAAAGTACTGTGACCTCAATAACCGTACTTTTAACGGTGGTTACAGTACATTTAACTGGGTCGGATTCCCGTCGGTGCTTTCCAGTGGCCTTTTGCAAATTGCATTTTCCCCCTCAATCATTTGATACCGGAAATTTCATATTACAAAGAAACCCCCTTCACACCTTCCATCACCAACCCAAGCAGAGCCTTCTTCTCATCTTCGTCCAACAACCCCAAAACCTGCCGACGAGTGGGTGCCTTTGGATCAAAGAATGGAACTTCAGCAAGCGAGGTCACTCGAGTGCCATGACGAGGATATCTACCACCGTAATCCCAACTTGCGTTGTGGATGGTAATCCTGCAAGTCGGGGAGTATTAGCATCATCCATCATTATACACACCACTTTAATCCCGTTGACTTACCTGTTATCCCACAGAGCGCTCGTTCCCTGAGTCCACCGAAACCGAACCTGAATATCCGGATTTGACTCGTACACATCGTAAAGATAATTCAGAATCAAATCGCTTTCCACCTTGTCGAGCCCAACAATCCTGGATGTCATTGCCCGGTTGACCCAAAGAGCTTTCCAACCAGTTGCTGGATGCACACGGACCAGGGGGTGCGTCCGTTCGAGATGCTTCGGTCCTGCAGTGGGATTCTCCCTGTCCAGATACGCATGCGCAGAGATGTATACAGCCTGCTTTCCGTCAATGAATTTGCGGAATTCGGGAGACAGCTTTTCGTAGGCGCTATAGCCCGACGCCCAGAGGGTGTCGCCTCCAATCGGGGGCACAGTGTCGTTGTGCAGATGGGTGATGCCCGCTGGTTGCCGTTCGTGGACGAGGTCTGTGTGCCATCTTGAAGCACCTCCTGGGTTGCGGAATCCAGCGGGAATGGCCTCTTGGAATAGGTCTGGCCAAATCACAGTGACACCTGGAACTCCAGGGACTTGAGGAGTTTGTGGCTATGCGATTCTACATCAGTTTTGCCTGTGTGCACCATCGGGGATTGTCACTTACATGGACTTCCACTTGGCCAAACCACTCTCCAAGCTCCTTTTGTTGCTGAGGGGTAATGTCCTGGTCCCTAAAAAACACAACACTACGCTCGGCAATCAGAAGCGCCAGTTCATCCTTCTGCTCCGGGGCGAGATCCTTGAGTTGAAGTCCCTCAATCTCGGTCCCAATGTGGGTTGTCAGGTCAGTGACTTTGGTGGCTGCAGAGAAGAGGTTCTTCTTTGATTTTTCTGCTCTTGCTCCTGCGTCTTCATAGGGGCGATCTTCACCGCGAATCTTGTAGACGTCTTGAAGATATAGAGGTGCCGACGGACGATAGGGGTAACCGTTGGACAAGTCAATCCCTGCCTTGATCAACCGTTGTCGGGATGGCTCTGGGAGTGGAAGTGTATCCTTCTTTTGCTCGACGGTGTCCACGATGGACTGATCAATAGGTGCTGGTGCCATTGTGGTTGATGCAAAATTCTCTTCCTAGGTGGTTTGCGTACGGTTTTGGTACTTCTCGACCTCCACAAAGACACTGCCAATACTAGTACTCCCAGACCATCTTCAAAATGGAGTTCCGCGGCACGTTGTGTACCTTGTGTATCTTGTATTCCCGCTGGCAGCCGCTTGTTTGATTACCAAGCTCACCGGTGAAGCTGTTATCAATTGTTCAATCCAGGGACAGGATTGCGAGTTTGACGGCCCGTCTCTCAAAGTGGGGGTTTGTTGTTCAACGAGATGCCGATCTCTTATTACCGAGGACTGAAGACAGGTATGAAAGTTCCAGATGTACGGATTATTGACATCCTTCTTCCCCGCATTGATTACACTGCATGGTTTGAAGCTCTGGCGTCATGTCTGCACGAATTGTGTGCTTGTCATCTGTTGGCTGATATCGTTTCAAAGATGCTGCAGTTCAACATGTGATAAATCAACTGAAACATAATAAATCAAACAGACCTGATCATGATGCAATATTGCTGTTGACCCCCACCTCAGAAGATAGGGGATTGGTAATCTAATCCAGAATACAGAGTCAGCTAACAATGCCAATTTGGTCTATACTCGGTAATTTCAAAGGCAAGTTTTTGAAGCCCTTTTTATTCCGTTCAAGGATCGCAGGTATAGATAATATCCTGTCATTTCTTTCTTGTCAGGGGGCAGTAAATTCATCAAGCAGTACGTTCTTTTTCAATCGAGGCAAGTATTCAAACATTGAAGTATGTTGGAATCGTCCTCAGAACCCTGTTCCAAGACGTCCTCTCAAATATAATGGACTTTATTTGATGGCTTTGACTAAATGTACTGGAACAACTGTGATGATCGATTTTTATGAAAGACAATGAACCCTGCCTGGACTAATTCAACGTGTAGTTGAGGGTATGACTGTTGTGGCTTACTTTGTCAGTTAGGTTGGAAATAACCACAACAAGGCCGTTGTCTCTTGAATTATTAAAAGAGTTTCTTGGATCTTGACTTGTGAAAGACATGAATTCAAATTATATCAGCCATTGGAACGATTCAGAGCTCTTTCTCTGAGTCTGCAGTTGTGTAAACGCCACATGAAGGCGACCCCCATTCACGCAATCAGCATCGGCATGGCGTGATCAGAGAGAAGGGGCATCAGCTCAAACCAGTGCCGACCAATGTGCCAACGGAGGAATTGAATACACCATTCCCGGTCAGAGTTTTGCCGAGGCAATGGATTGTTGGAAATAATTATGTTCTAGACAACTGCAATAATAGAATGGGCACCTATATAAGGAAAACATTTAGTCCTCATCCCTTTGATCCTCACCATCTTCACTCCCAAACAATGTCTGATAAAACAAAATCCACAGATTCATTTGGTCCCGGCCGGACGGTGGCAGTCATCGGAGCTGGCATCAGCGGAGTCTGCACGGCAGCCCACCTCCTCAAACAAGGCCTCTCAGTTACAGTGTTTGAACGCTCAGGGATCGCTGGTGGAATCTGGCATTATGATCCTCGTATACCAGAAGATTCCCCCTATCCCAGCAACACACCTTCACTAGGGGATTACAAGTTGTCCCTACGAGGAGAATATGCATATTCCACCCCACCTCCAGAATTCCCAGTCGGAAACAAGCTGGATATCAACACATCTACTCTCGATCAGACTCAGCCCACCAGAGACAAAAATGTCCCAGACCTCGAAGTACACTTTTCACCTCCAGGCCCTTGTTATTCCGGCCTCAGAAATAATGTGCCTACCACATTGATGGTTTCCAGCTTACACTCCTGGCCCGAACCAGCCAAAGAATTCGTCGGCCAAAACATAGTCGAGACATACATCCAAGACCTAGCAGCAAAACACGGGGTAACAACCAGTACTCTTTTCCACACCAGAGTAGACGAGGCTAGAAAAATAACGACTCCCGACGGATCATCCAAGTGGGAAATTCGCTCCATAACCCTCGAATACGGCAACAAGCTCACAGAGAGACTCTCTCACTTTGACCTCCTCGTCGTAGCATCAGGTCACTACAACATGCCTCGAATCCCAGACATCCCCGGTCTCAAAGAATGGAAAACCGCCTTCCCAAGCAGAGTAATCCACTCCAAACAATACCGGAACCCCCAACCTTACAAAAACCAAAACGTCGTCATCTTGGGTGCAGGCGTCTCCTCCCTCGACATCTGCCGCGAACTAGGGGAGATCTCCAACCACACCTACCAAAGCGTCCGAGGAGGCCAATACGACCTCCCCGCTACCCTCCTCCCCAAAAATGCAACTCGAGTGCCACAAATCTCAAACTTTTCCATCCATCCCGCCACCATTCCAGACCTAACAAACGACGACAAAACTCCAATCCCAGGAACAATCACCCTCGCAACACCCGACAGTGACACCACCCAAAGTCAAACCCTCACCCAAATCCACAAAGTAATAATAGCAACAGGCTACATAACCTCCTACCCCTTCTTTTCCTCACCAAATTACCACTCCAACACTCTCCCCTCATCCCAAGCCACCCCAACCGTTTTAATAACCAAAGAAGGAGACATGACGCACAACCTCCACAAAGACATCTTTTACATTCCTGATCCAACCCTAGCTTTCGTAGGCGTTCCTTATCACGTCTCGACATTTTCTTTGTATGATTTCCAAGCTCAATTGGTCGCTAGGGTATTCTCTGGCAAAGCAGAGTTACCTCCCAGGCAAAAAATGAGGGAGAAATACGAAGCCAAAATCAAGACGAAAGGACTGGGAAGAATGTTTCATTCGATGCACGAGGAAGGGAAAGAGATTGAATATGTTAAAGAACTGGTTGAGTTGGGGAATAATAAAGGAGACCAAAACAAAATGGTCGGACACGGACAGGTTTGGTTGGATAGGTATGAGAAGTTGAAAGAAGATATGAAGGAGATTTTGGCTGGTAGGGGAAGTTGGGAAAAGTTGTTGAGTAATGACTGAACCATCTCTTTTCCTTTTTTAGTTTGTTATCTCACCTTTTCTTGTCTTATGATAAATATTTATCAACTCCGATGAATTACTTCAGACGCTGATAATTAACTTTATCATGGTAGTTGACGAGGATGAACCACTCCTCAATAACATTAGAAAGTCTCATTTACTCCTAAAAATACCAACCACGTACTCATTTCGTCCACAGCCACCAATATCACATTTCAACTCTCAAGTTCAAACTTAAACAACCACAGCTGCCACCCATCTGCTCACACCAAACCACCACATAGTCTCCTCCTCATCCAACACCACTTAATAAAATTCCATTTCAACACAGCCAAATATACAAACCGGTATTAAAACCATTACAGCCCGCATGGCCTAATGGCTATGGTGTCCCACTCGTACCACAACAACCATCTTCGATACGTTTAATGGGGTGATTCCCGGTTCAATTCCGGGTGTGGACATTTATTTGAAAGACAAAAACAAATCAGTCTTTTTTTTCTTTTTTTTTCTCTTCAACGCATCAGCTTTATCTCATATCAAAATCATCAATATCCTAGACTCAGGATGTATAGCAGAAGAACCAATCATCATCACTCCAGATTTCTTCTTTCGTTTTTGTCCCTAGATACAGCCGAGGACGATGCCCATCTTCACCCACTTGTCAACCCTTGAAATAAGAAATATCTAACCCATGCTCACGCCTTTCACCTAATCATGATGACGACTCCCAAGAAATACGAGTTCCCAAATTAAAGTCTGGTGTTGTCATCAAGAAGCGTGAGACTCGGGCGTCATGCTACGTGACAATGCAACAGCCAATCATCTACTGCACAGTTCCCCCCATGCCACACAATCAAGTGAGGGGACTTCAACCAATCACAAACCATTTCATCCACAGATAGATAATCAACGTATAAATTGAGGGGAAAGGAAAGCAAACGCCGTGTCTTCCTTTTTCTCCTGCTGTTCATCCAACAAATGCAATGAACAAAAAAACACAACAGCAACCCTGCTCTAATGTCTAAAAGAGTTCTTTCCTCTCCCTCTCTCCTCTCTTCTAAAGTCTATAATGCCTTTTTTCGCTTTTTGCGCCCATTCTTTGGCTGCCCAAAAATATGATACCGAAAATTGACTCTTTATATACATCATATCATTTATCTTTTTGGGTTTGTTTCGTTTTCTTCATTATTTATTTCGCCTTGGGCTCGGCCCACTTGAGGGCGCCGGGGACGTTGGGGTCCTCAACGACGTACTTGCACTTGGTGAAAGTGTGCCACAAGCTGCCGAGGAAAGAGCCGCTCTCCTTGTGGTAGAAGTCGCTGACGACGGGCATGATGGCCTCGGTGGCCTCCTCAGCGAGGTAAAAGGGAATGCGACTGCGAAAGACGGGTCGTTAGTGAGAAGATCTACAAACAAAAACAGCCCAAGACCATCAACTTACGGGAAGAGATGGTGGATGACGTGGTGGTCAATGATGTGGTGGAAGAGGTGGCGGCCAACCCAGCCAAAGTCACGGTCGACGGTGGCAAGAGCGCCCTTGACGAAGGTCCAGCTCTCGGCCTCAAAGTGAGGAATGTCGGGGTGGGTGTGGTGAAGGTAGGTAATGGCGACCAACCAATGGTGAACCCACATGTACGACTGGCCGTACATGAGGAAAACCATCTTCCAGCCGACAACGGTGGAGGCGAGGTACAGAATGTAGCCGGTGATGGCGAGACCGAGATCCGAGATGGCAATGAAGATGGCCTCGGATGGACGGAACACGGCAGAGGTGGGCTCGAAGTGGCTGACGCGGAAGACACCAACATCCTTCTTCTGCTGGCTGTCGGGACCGGCAGAGACGTTGAAGAGGAGGTACGCCTGCCAGCCGGCGAGCTGGTGGAGGAGGAGCTTGGCAACCTGGACAATGGGGACATCCTCAAACAGCTCGCGATCGAGGTAAAGGTCGGCAAGGCGACGCTTCTGGCGATCCTTGGCAGTGTGGGGGACGAAAGCCATGTCCTTCTCCATGTTGCCGGTGAAGCGGTGGTGGCGATGGTGCGAGTACTTCCAGCTGAAGTAAGGAACCAACAGAGCCGAGTGAAGGATCCAGCCCATCACGTTGTTGAACTTGGTGTGCAGCGAGAAGGCGCCGTGGCCGCACTCGTGGGCGAGAATCCACACACCGGTGAGGACGAGGCCCTGAACGTAGCCATAAATGGCCCAAGCGATGCCGCGGAAGATCGAGTCCTGGATTTGAGGGATGTAGGTGAAGGCGGCCCAACCAAGGGCGCCAGCCATGATCAGATCGCGGAAGACATAGCTCATGGATCGCAGCACGGTGGGCTGGAAGCAGTGAGCGGGAATGGCGTCCCTGATGGTTTGAATGTCAGGGTATTCGGGTCCCTGAGAAGGAGCCGCGATTTTGCCGTTGGCAACGCCATTGACCTTGCGACTCTTGGTCTCGGTCGTGGTAGTTGTTGTCGCCATTTTGTGGATGGCGAGAGGAAGGAAGGAAAAGGAAAGAAGGCTGAGGAAGGAGAAGAAAGAAAAAAAAAGGGAGAAAAGAGGGACGAGGAAGGAGAGAGGGAGAAACCTTTTGGGTTCTTGAACTACACTCCGCTTTCCTCACACCCACAGAAAAAAAACCAACCTAACAGGGGACCATCCTTTACCCTTTCTCCTCAAGACACGACACAAAACTCACTTTACCATCTTGGTCGAGCAACTGGACCCTGGGCCCCTGCATCTTGCCCTTTCCAACGCACCCAGGTTTCAACAGATGTTGAAGAAGTGGCAGAAAAAACCACCTACGGAGAGAAACACGGTACTTTGCCCTTGGTTGTGGCGGCAGCCCCACGTTTCTTTTCCCACGTTGACCCACAAGGGCAGTGACATAAACCGATCAAACCTTGAACCTTGTTCGTCCCTTTTTTATTTTTATTTTTTATCAGTTTAGATAGGGTCTGGGTCTGGATCTGGGTCCTTGCTTGGCCTTTGAAAGCCCAATGGAAATCTTGTGAGATATCGCCTCTCAGAGTGAGGGGGGACAAGGGGAAAAAGATAGGAAAATAAAAACCGAAAACGAACCTCCTCCTCCTTCCCCGTGGCTGGTAGGTAGAGAGAGGTTACCTGTATGCATGGTTTCCGCGATTAAGATTGGCACCAAGATCCTGGAGATTATAATTTAGCAGATGGAATCGGTGACCCGGTTATATGGGCCGCAGCACCCAATCATGAACAGTCGACAGCAATTCTGACAAAGGTCAAATGCACGTTTCCTCAACAGAAAAAGAGCCTGACCGCGGCAATTGCTGACATGTGGTTTAGTCGGTGAGTAGTTTTGTTGCTACCCTCCTCCCGCTTTCCCGTTTTTTTTTCTTACTGTACCGGTTGGGAGACAATAAAATAAATAGTACTTATGCGACGTTATGTTGTTGGTTTGAATGTGATTGGAACACAGGGGGAGAAAAAAAATATGCATGGGACCTGCAGATAAGATAAAAACTATTTGGTGATGACAAGAAAAACCAAAACCAGACGCAGGGAGGGGTCCTTACGTATTCGTGATGAGCAGAAAAAAAAGAGGCTGAATAATGAACATAAAACAGAGCCAAGTGCCTGGAACCACAAACACGCTTTTCCATCAGAAACTCAGAATGGGAAACATTTTGAAACAATCATTTTCCTGGTTTCCGAAACCGAATTGAGGGTGTGGTGGGTGTCAAAGAGTTTCTGACCAATGAGGAATGTTACAGATTGATTGTCAACTTTTTTGACAGATGGGGGCGCGCCCAGAGAGGGGGAATGGGAATTGACCAATCGGCTTGCCTGATTAACACAAATCCGATATCCATCTTTCCCAACAACGCAAAAGGGCCAGCCCACAAAAAAAAAAGAGGATGTGGATTTGTGGATTTTGCCTTCCAAACCCCCAGAAAAAGGGTCCAAAGACTCAAAAAAACTATCTCTTAAAAGTCTTGACCGCCCAATCGGCGTATTGTTCTTTCCAACCATGCCCAATCCAACGCAAGAAATCATGTGCTGTCAAACGCACGATTTTTCTTTTTCCCCCTCGTGAACGACGCAAGACAACTGAACCCCTGTCAATCACTCAATCGCAAGCTTGGCTTCCGCCAACTTGGCAAGATTGGAAAAAAAGAAAATAATAAAAAAAAACGGACAAGCCATGCATGAAGGGTCTTGCAGCACCAGCAGTGTGCCCCCTCCTTTTTGACCCTCCATTCCCTCTCCGGCTTTTCCTAAAAAAGTAAAACGCCAAGTATTTTTGAATTCCATTCGTTAAAAAATGTTACACAAGAGATTGGCTTTTCCCAACCAAAACCTTTGGGCATCCATCTCACGCTCATAACCGTTGGGGAGGCCGAGAAAACACATGGTTATAACGGGCGACCGGAAACATCCTGTAATACCTAACTCACCATGGTGATGGAACAAACAGCCAGCAACAATCATGTGAAAACCCGCTTTTTTATTTTCAAGATGACCATCTTAATTGGTTATTCAGACGCTTGTTCCATTTTACCCTCTTCCCACCCCTTCTTCTGTTGATCTCTTTGCTTTCCCACTTTAACATATGCGATCATTCATACATGTCTAGTCCTTTTGCCTTTTCCCCGCGGCAAGAAATAAGACAGGAAAAAACAGGTAGCGCGTTGCAACCAATGCTCATAAGCCCACCAGCCTCACATTCATAAAAAGGCAGAGGCGGTAGATAGCAGACCCATACCCCAAGAGTCAGGTCATGTCGTCAAAATGCTTCCGTTTCGTCATCAATCCCCTGTGTTCTCTTTGCCAAAGACACCAGGTAACTCATAAATGTGTGTTTGCTGTTGAGGCCAAAACCATCCTTTGCTGCCCATCCCAGGCCGCTATCCATCCCAAAAAATACCAAAAATACCAAGAAAGTCAAAAAATAACAAGATACTATGCCATGCAAAATCCTCAAAAGTGCCCATCTCCCAGAACGTTTGTCAACATGATTTTGACCCGAGTTGGATACCATCACTCAGCGCCTCCCAATAAATCCACCCAGACGTATTTTTCCCGTACCTTGAATTGAATCGTACCCGTGTTCCGCTAAAAGAAAATGAGAAACAAAAGCTGGAAATGCGACAAAAAATGCCCAATATACCACGCATCGTGCCAGCGCCGACAATGGCCGGTTCGATGTCATCATGTGCCGAATCAGAGAAAGGATATCAGAACGGTGCTTCTTCAGTCATAAACCAGGATTGACTTCTCAGCCCGGGTGCGCATGTGGCTGGCATGCGTTTCGAGACATGACGTGATCAGGCGGGTCACTACAGCATCGTTAGAATCCAAGATAGAAGGGATGTGCAAGGTGGTGACTTACCAGGCCATACAGCGGCTTTATCAAACATGTAGGCTGTGACCTTCAACAGCTTGGCAGCGTACCCCAAGCTGTTATCAAGCTGATACTTACCAGCAGCCATGTTGT